CTCTCAGGCAGAACTGTACTCCAGATGCCAGGAAAGCGATTAAAGTAGACTCTGAAATACTTGCTTTGAACTCTTTAGAAATTATGAGCAGGATCTAATGAGAAAGTGAATAAAAGTCAGTGACTTGATTCCATGTCACCAAAAGACTCCATGGACTTCCTATTAATAGGAGGTGATGTGGCCAGATGTGTGATTAAAAAGTTACTTCTCTGTAAAATTTCAAACCACCTATGCAGGGTCTGAAACCTGAATCACCAAGCTATCCATGTTGTGCTAATACAAAAATTAGAGCACTTGCCTAGCACTGATTTTTCCAAGAACTCTACATTCAGTTCCCCTCTACCTCAGTATACACCTTTCTTCTCAGGAGAATTTTTCTTCCACCAGACTACAGTCTGGACTGTCTAGGAAACATTCTTGACCCTTTCCAGGGAAATCTTTTTATATTTTGCTGAAATGCAAGGTCATGTTTCCACAGAGAAGAGTGCTTTGGACAAAATCTTAAGGCACTTCAGACTATTGGCACTTCTCAGGCATCAGGTGGGTACTTGGCAGATCATCTCAGAAGATTTCAGCACCTTTTGCTACTGTGTCCTTTATCAGAGCCAGACTCATGGACTCACTGGAGAGTCCACCAGTCTTGAGTATGGCCACTTCCTTAATAGTGGTAAAAATTGTCCAGTGGGACAAGACAGCCTACAATGTAATCTCAGTTTTTTTCGCACTATCTGGGCATAAAAAAGTCTCTAATGATTCAAAGGCCATTTTCACTGGGCTTTATCTTACATCCTTTCACGTCTGCCAAGCAGTACAGTTTACTTTCCGTCTCCCTAGTGGCTTCAGCACCTTCTCAGGGTCCTCTACTCAAAGGTGGGAAGGTCCTGAAGAAAAAGGAAATGCCCAAGTGGCAGCCTTTACTGCAAAGATAGATTTTGTATGTGGGTTACTCTGTTTTGTCTGGTAAATATCTGTGGTGCTGTCTACTCATATTCATTTCTGTTTCCTGTCCACACCCACTAGCATGGTCGTATCTCACTGTCAGTGTGGTGCTCTGGAAGCACACAAACATACACGCCAGGACTTGTCAACATCCCCATTTTTTTTTAACTGGGTCAGATAAGATAAAAGTTCAGTGTTGATGAGTTTGTTGATGAGTTTTCCTGACCAGAGGGAGCTGGAGGTGAGGAATGAGGTGGAAAAGGGGAGAGGGCCCTTGGGCCTCAAGCTCAAGTGGGAGGAGCTCTGCCCTCGGGGCCGGTTCTGTGGCAGAAGCTGGGTGGAGAGGGTCTTCTCTGCTTCCTCCCCCAAGAGAGGTGATTTTGGTGGTCCCGACCTCTGTTCTGGAGATCTGACAGGCAGGCACGGTAGCACAGAATTGCAGCACGCTGACTCGCTCCCCGGCACAAAGCTGTCGGCTCTCCATTTCTCAGGGGCTTAGTGGTGTTGGTGTGAGTTTAGCCTCTAAATCTCGGCAGCGTGCGGCCCTGGCACTTCACAGCACAGAGCACGTCCACAGCTGTCGCAGTCCCTCACTGGGGCTGCTCGCTGGAGCTGTCGGCCCTGCTCCTCGCGCTCCCCAGGAAACCCTCTGCACCGTTCGGATCTCCCTGTAAAACACACTTCCCACCAGCACAGCAAAGCCAGAAACGAAGAGCCAGCCCACATCTCCACCATGGCCAGATGTGGCGACAGCAGCCCTAGGGCTGGCTGGTGCGAAGTCCTCCAGCACTGCTGGCTGCCCGTCGTGTGATCGTGTCCTTCAAGCCTGCTGCAAGCCTCCACCACTAAAATCAGGGAGAATTTACCCTTGGTTGCAGCAAGCATAGGTCAAGTCCACAGTCCCTAAGAAGAAGGTATTTGTGACACGTGCAAGGCAGATTACATTTCTCCAAGTCCCATTCCTTGCCTTTTCTAACAGGGCAGTACTAATCTCACTAAGCCTGAGAATGCATCTGACTTTTAAGCGTATATGTCTTCATACAGGAGCCACCTAAAGCTAAGGGGACATGTGAATGTTAGCAAAATTGAGGTCTCAGTCTCCTCAGTATCTTTCAAATGCAACTGCAGGATTTGCATAAATGGTTCTTTTGCTCCTTCCCTCAGCCAGTTCCTGACCAACCTGGATAGTAAGTGAAAGTTCAGTAAAAATAACTAAAAAAGCCACCTTTTAATGTTTTTGTCACCTGAGTTCTGAGCACAGAAAATACATTTCACTTTTACCTGAAATGCCCTTGTGTGTATTAAATGAAGAGTGGCATTAATCCTAGACGATACCCAGTCCTTCATGTAATTTTGTATTTGTCATAACTCAATGATCTCACTAAATATTTCAATGTACCCTTAAATAATACTGCCTGTCATGTAATCCTTATCTCAGAATTTTCTCAGTGACTTTGTGTCCTAGCTGAAAAAGAGCTATCACAGAAAATAAAATGGGACTGAAATAACAGTCCTTTATATTAAAGTTCGCATTTGGCTTCTGTCCCAGAATTTCATGCATCCATATTAGAATCAGATGCTAAGTCCAGATGAAAAGATTTCCTGGATGGGTTTTATTCTTATTCTTAAAGGGCTGATAACAGGCTGAAGGCAAGACACTTTTTGTAGTAAAAATATCTGCTTAATACCAAAGCTTGGAAGGACAAGCTGACATGTATTGTTGTTAGGCCTCCCAGCTTGATCACATTTCAGGATCATAAATTCATTCTCCTGGTGAACACGAAGTGTAGAGATTCCTGCGCGCGAGGTGGGAGCTGAGGGCGGCAGATGAGGCTCCTCCGGGCACGGCCCCGCGCGCCGAGGAGCTACCCGTGATAACGGCAGTACCGCCTCCAGTTAGATATTGCTGGCCACCACATGGTGTAACTTATATTAGATTTCAGCTGCTCTCGAATATTTGCATTCATAAAATGCACTCCCTCGTGTCTCACCTGCGAAGCGGCCCGGTGTGCCATGCAGCAGGGCGAGGGAACCGGCCGCTTGCTCCGTTGGCTGAGGAGCGAGTTAGGCTGCGGGCGGCGCAGGGCGTCGGGCCTGGCTCTCTGCTCCAGAACACCTTGCCTGGCCCGGCGGCCGTGGGGGCGAAGCTGCCATTTGCTGCCTCGCCGCAGGTTTCTTTGGCAACACGGGCAGGTTGAAGGGACCAAAAGGCTTTTCAGAAAGCAGGATTTCCTTTACCCGTGGGTGACGGGGCTCAGGCAGTACAGACGTGTGCAGGCTCTGGGTAGGCTGGGCAAAGAGCTTTCCTTCTGGTGAAGTGGAGGAGCGTTGCTTTCCCCACGGCGCTGGCCGGTGGCTGAGGCTGTGGGCATGATGTTCGAGCTATAAATCAGATTTTTGCAAAGCGGCTCTTCTGTAGGCAGCCTGTTGCTTGAGATCGGGGGCTGTAATTAGCACTTTCTTGAGGATATTTTTGCTTGGTTTTGACGCAATATCTTCAGCAACAAAAGCAGAGTATGAATCGTAGGCTGCATTGATCCTTAACTTCAGCTTGTCATCTCACAGGATATTGGAAAATGGGTATGGTTTGGAGATGTACTGGTTTTCTAAATAATACACTTCTAAATAAAAACTGATATGTGGTTTGAATGTATAAGCAGAAAACCATCTCACCGGCACTAGACGTTAACAGCATCCATGTCAGCATCTGAGCTTGTTCATTTTATAGTCGGTGGAGAGAAGTATGCCTTTTTAGAGGAGGAATTCATCTGATCTATTTTAGTAGTAGTTAGGTGAGATGAATCCCATATGGCATGTTTCTGAATAGCACTATTCTCACTTCGTGTGTTACTTCTTTTTTTTTTTTCTTCTACCAGAAGTTACCATCAGGAGTTCACAAAGAGGCTTCTTGTATTAATAAGAAATAGCAGGCTCAATCCCTAGGATGTCTTTACCACTGATAGTTACAGCTACCTTAATTCCTGTGGTGGCCGTTTTGGTAGCTGTATTGATCTTGCAGCTATGACTCAAGTACCGGTTCAATGGGGATTGGTGGGCACTTGGGCAGAAATTTCCGAGAGACCATGGGACTTCCTCACACTATCCTGGAAACAATTCCAGGAAGGCCAGATGTATCATATACATGCTTGTTTTCCAAAGAGTTGCAACATCTGGAGAAGAGGGATAAGGAGTAATTTATATCAGGAAGGAAATTGTGGAAAAGTGAAGCGAAGGCGAAATGTCCTAGGGAGATGAAGGGAAGGCATAGGGGTTGGAGCTGAAGAATGGGGAATTTTGGTTGAAAAGCACAAGAGTGGCTGAATGGTAAACGAGGGCAAAATGAGCTCTGTGCTGCAGGACAGTGTTAATGGCCAAAAGGGTTGATTGCCCCCTTCATTGTGGTTGGCCTGAACCACACATTTTGCAGCATGCAAAGGGAAGAAAAGTTCCCAAAGCTGGTCCCCTCCATATATGATCAGGCACTATAGAGAGGCACTATATTTATTCTGGTAAATATAGCATTGTAGGAGGAAGAAGAATTTATTGTGAATAGCTATCAAAAAAAAAAAGGAATAGTGCCTGATAGCTGAGGAGTCAGAGCTGCTTTTGAGGCATATAAATAAACAGAGAGTCACAGAATAGGAGTAATAAGGTGTTATTGGCCCTGCATTTGTCACTGCATCGAACTTGTGTAACCGAATTGATTTTCAGAGGGTGCTGACTGCTGGAAACATGTTCCTTTAAAATGGCTCCTGTTCACTGCCTCAAAATCTATCACGGCTTTTGGAGCTCTTGGCTTCTGAGTAGCATTCTGATATCTGGGTTATTGACATGCAGAAGCTCAAAGCTCTCTGATAAGATTCATTCAGCATTAGTTTTCCTGTAATTAATTTTCTTGATTATGTAATTAATTTTTTTTCTGGTTGAGGATGCATTCTGTTTCTTAAATTGCTTATTTTTTTCACCTCAAATTTGTTATTCTCCCAAGTTTTACATTAGTAGTTGCAGCAAACCCCAGTGACACGTGTATGGATTTTCTCTCTCTACATTTTTTTTTTCAGATGTAACTGAAATCGCACCGTCTATTCTGAAGAGTTCTCCCACCGATCAGCAGATGAACAAGCTCGCGAGGAGCCTGGGGCCCGAGTGGGAGCACGTTGTTCTGTGCCTGGGGCTGTCGCACGCCGACGTCTATCGCTGCAAGGTCAACCACCCGCACAACGTGCAGTCGCAGATCGTGGCGGCGCTGGTGCTGTGGAGGCAGCGCTTTGGGCACAGGGCTACCATCCAAAGGCTGCAAGCCAGCCTGAGGGCAGAAGAGGTGGATCCTTCTGCCATACAGCACATGCTTGAGTGAGGCTGTGCTCTTGATGGGCAGCGGTCAAGCGCTTGGCTAAACTCAAGTGAGTTCAATGAACTGTGTGTAGAAGCTCTGGTGCCTCGATCTGTGGAAAATGGGGTTGAGAGCTGCGGTTTTATTAGTCTTAGACATTCCGGTTTTCTGTGGCACCTTGTGACTTTTCATGCCAGATGAATTTTTAGCAAGCATTAAAAAATGGATCACTCTTGCCTGTTTACTTCTGTACTATTCCAGTGGGGATGTACGGTGAAACTAAAAGTCTCTGCAAGCAGGAAGCCCTGCAGTGAGTTCAGCAAGGTTTCGTGTTTCATTATGGGAGTGACTCTTGGTTTAACCTATTTTCTGGACTATGTAAGAGCCTTTTTTTTTTTTAATTGCTGTTCCCTCCTTACTGATATCCCAGTAAGAAATTAGAAAATTTCTTAGAATAATTGATTTAACAATTCTACCACTGTTACTGCAGGTGGCTAATTTCACTTTTAGAAAAGTTTTAACACATACAGGTTCTTGCTGGGATAGATGGCCACCACCCTAGCCTGCCTCAGAAACCGGTCCTGAGTGGAAGTAATAGAAACTTAGTATGTTGCCAAGGGGTTTTCCCAGTATTATTTAGTTGGTGCAAGGGGACGGGCACATGGTGTCTCTAGGCGTAGCACGGGTAGGGAGTTCCCAAGGCGCATGCACAATGCACAAGTGACGAGAAGTCATGCAGGAGCTGGCAAGCAGAGCAAAAAGGTACCTTGAAAGTAAGACAACTTTTAAGCCCTCCGTGTTTGTCTCACTTTGCAAGTGCTGTGCCTGAGTTTGCAGAGCCTCTGTGCCTGCAATGACAGAGGAGCCCTCGCTGCTCTCCTTCCAGCTTGTGCCAGCCCCCATGCTCATTTGCTTCCCACCTGTTTTTCGGCATCTAACCGGAGCAGCTTCACAATTCCTGTCCCTGTTTCTTTGACAACTGTCACCGTGTCACTGTTAACAGTTAGATTTTACCCAGAAGAATCATAAATTTTGGGCTTTTCTCCTTCTTGCCTCCAGCCAAAGAGTTTTTCTTCCAGGTGGAAGAAACCACCAGGCTTTTCGCTCAGCCGGTAGAGGGGTATCAGTCCCCAGGGAAGGTGCCCAGCTACTCTCCGGGACCTAGTTTAGTGCTTTCTGGACGCTTTGCTCCCCAGTGAACGAGGAGCAAAGCCTGGATGCTGGTTTCCAGGTCAAATTCCAGCAGAGCGTTTCCTCTGCAGTCATTGCCAATTGACTTCCTGTCTTCCTGGATCTGCCCCATCTAATTTAATAGCTTCACAGCTTTGTCTGATGACTTTATGGAGGCAAGAATGAGCTTTACACTCTCTTTTTAAATCCTTCCTCTATGCAGATTTTCAGGAACATCTGGGAAATAAGGAAGGACAACAGAGTTTTAAGGACACTCCATCTGCCTTGCTTTTCACGGTAACAAAGACTATATCTGGGCAGGATCAGCACCTACAGGCGCTGAAGCAATTTGGTGGTATATTATTTTTAGTCTTATATAATGCAGTTCTGACCTTCAGTAAATCATGATCCTGTTATACCTCACTCCAATCTTAATTGATTATATCCGATTATGGCTGCTTACAGAGTTTAAGTCTATCAGCAAGTCCCAAATAAACAATGTAAATCAATTCAGGCGCGGGGATTTTTTTACTTTACTGTTTCACAATGCTTTAATGCCAGCATCTTCCTTCCGTTTGAAAGTCATCGGAGTGCAGATGGGGTTGTGTAGGTGTACAGACATTTGACAGATTCTGAAATACAAGGCCCGAAGCCTGAACCTTCTGACCCGATTCACTCAGGGGGATAAACAGCAGTGTCAGCTGCGGCTGGCGATAAGGAGCAGAGCTGTGTCTGTTGCAGCACTTTGGAGGACCAGAAGCTGGAGATGCGGAGCCACTGAAAACGTGATTTATAGGAAAAAGCTACCTCTCAGTCACATAAATGCAAGCACTGTATCTTGTTCTAACCCAGCATAAAGCAGGCCTTAACATAGACTCGTATTCCAAGGGAGTTGTCCCCAGTTAACCTTGCGAACCCCTCTTTCTTCTTTGGACAAATTTTGCATTTCATGATGTTCTGCGTTTGTAACATTAATGTCAGGTTGCCCATAACAAATACATTCAGAGCATTTTTAATGAGGTTTTGAAAAGCTCAACTGGGAGTAGGTATAAAACTTCATGCCAAATATGAATTTATAAGGATAAGCGGAAACTTTATAGGTCAGATATCCTTCTGTGTATCTAGCATAGGTCACTGGAAACTTGAGGGATCAGTATCATATCAGGTGATTTCTGCAGAGCATTTAAATTGTTCTTTAAATGGGCTGAATTCTGCATCCCAGGAGCCCTGGCTAGACAAGGAATTTAAAACCTGGCCCTTTGCATTGTAGAAGAGAGCACTTAATTCCCAATTTATAGTTACTTTCACATTCCCAGGCCCTAAATTAATGCTGCAATGCTTGAGCTGCAAATATTGAAGGGAGAGGTTTAGTTATTTTATGAGACTGTTTCCATTGCTGTTATTTTTAAATTCATGGAAATGTTCCTATTAGACTCTTCAGTTTTGTTAAAGCTCATTCTTGCACCACACAAGGCACATTTAACTTGACAGTAGTATTCCTTTAACCCAGTGGATTTTTCCATCCACTTAAAAATATTTTTCTTCCGTGTGTCATGCTTTATATTACACAAGGATGCAATTAAGACAATTTAGTTCTTCAGATGTATAGCAAGGCCTCTCATTCTCTCCTAGGACAGCCAAAAGGTCTTAACATTTTTATTCTTCTCTGGCTAATTTGAGACCAAATATTATTTGTTTAAATGTCAGTCGCAGGAAAGCCTGCAACTTGAGTATTGTTCAGGCGTGAGGCAACCCAGTAAGCCAGTTTTCCTGTCCCTGGGACAGCAGGGCTGTTGAGCAAAGAGCTACGATATGTGGATAAGCTGCAGGTTTTGCTTCACGTCATTAATTCCCTACATCCGTGAGCTCTCTCTGGAAGGCTGAGAGCCAGGCTGTGGGCTCCCTGCTCCGAAGTCTTTCAGTGACTTGAGTTTCCGTCTCCCACAGAGAGGGAACATAAGCAGCAACATAACACTCCACCCATACATGGCAGTCAGGGCTGGAAATGCCACTTAAACCTCAAAAGGGTTAAGATGGGGTTGGGTAATACCAAAAAAGTCAAAAGATTCGGTGCTTTGTGCTGGGCAACTTGGGGCTCCGGTGGTTGCATGGGGCAGCCACCCCATCAAGGCCATGACCCATCGTCCAACGAAGGACAGTGGCAGCTGCTCTGCGCTATGCCACTCACTACCTGCCCTGGCCTCTTTGGTCTTCTCGCTCGAGCCTGGGCTCAGGGGCAAAGTTTAGCCAGCAGCAGCTATTTTCTGATTCATTTGGATTCCTCAACTGATGCCAAGAAAGCATGTCTATTGCAAATCTTTTTACTGAGATTTACTCATTTGTGGCAGCATTTAGTAGCCCCAGGAGAAGAAAATGTAAAGATGGCCTTGATGGTCCTTCCGCAGAAGAGGTCTACTTCTACCCCTTGGAAAAATTAGTCATTGTTTTCCATTCTTGGTCTGTAATGGAGACTTTGAGGTCTCATTTAGCTGTCTTAAGTGGTAAGAAAGCTTCGTGAAAATGATTTTATACTATGCAGAGCACAGGTGGACTCTTACCATAACAAGAACTAACGACCAAGACCACCACTTCCCACCTGCATAAAGCAATGTGGATTATCACAAAAATGGGATCTCCTTGGGACAGAGGGATGTCAGTGAGGCTCTGCACTGCATTAAGCAATGTTTGTGCAGGAAAACTCAAGTGCAATCATCTGTGAGTTGCTTCTCCCAGATAGAGAAAGAAATTTCCATCTTGAGTCATTTATTATGACAGTCATTGATCTATGGAATAAAACATTTTGCAAAAGGCTGGAAAAATAAACAAAGTCATATTGTATCCAAAGAACATAAAAGGAACACTGATCTGACTCTAAATATGGTCATGCTGCCAATTTTGTTTCTTACTGGAAATAAAAACAATCTCTGAGTGCTTATCTATTTTTAAGCTTCTATATTCTTGATAATCATAGACTGACTGATCTTTACAACATAGTAGAAATAGAGCTGGAAAGAGAGTTCCTAAGAGGTTTGTGGATTTACAATGAACATTCAAAAGATTTGTCCAGATTTCACAAAATGAAAAATTTTTGACTTTCAAGGTGTCTTTCTGTCACCTGGCAACTATACCTAGAAATATATCTAGTGATTTGGCTTTTTGGCCCGAATACAATGTCTTTTTAACTGTGCTCCCGAGAAAGAGGAAGAATTTGCCAGAAACAGAAATAATCATTCATCCTGTCTTCCCAGATTAGAAAAAAAAAAAAGTGTCTATGTTAGCAGAATTCCCTCACATTTTATTTGTGAGAAAGATAGGATTGGCGCTTCCTCTTTGAAGCTGTCATGAGGATTTGCACGGGCAGAGGAGCGTGGCTGAGCAGCTGCTGAGCAGCTCATGGCGCGGGAAGGACTGTGCCACTTCTGCCGCAGGGACCACACTGAGCCCTCTGCACGTGTGGCCAGGACCGCTCCTGACACCGCTGGCTGATCCAAGCCCCAAAAGCAAATAGAAAAAAAAGAAAAAGAAAAATTTCTCGTTGACTTCAATGCGCTTTGGATTAGGCCTCTTTAATCAGAACCTGCTGAAGCGTGGTGCTTTTGCTGCCTCGCCTTGAAAAGGGGCCTTTATGGAGGTCTTGGCAACAAGAAGCCACAGGGTTTTGCGGGTGCAGCAAGTGCTCTGCCTTGGCGTGGGGCTCCTTCCCCTGCCGCGAGCGTTGCTTCGCGCCGTTCACCTCACAGGACGTCGCACAGGAGTGAAGGCGCCGAGCAGCGGGGCCGTCCAGCACCCGTCCAGGGGATCCGAGGCCTGTCCGTGCGCCTCCAGCACCACTAATGCCCGTTCAGGTCTGAAAC